TGTCCCTGTTTTGAAATTGGGGCAGACTCACACTGAAGTTACCTATACTGTACTCAAAATAATACAACTCCTACATTTTCTTGCCCTGCTGGGTGATATTAGGTTCATCAATAAACAACGTCTGAAGTTAATATAACCTATTATGTTAACGCTTCATAAGGTTTAAGGGCTAAACTTTTCGACTATCTTTGCTGAAGTTGGCTTCATTTTGGTAATGCTGCTGTAGCGCTCATCTTTTTTTTTTGTTGTCCATGGTATATAGTATCACGCTTTTAACAGGAGAGTCTTGGTGTCGTTCAATGTTATCCATAGAATTAGCATGGCTGCACAGCAGCGTCATGTCATGTGAGTTTACATTTTCAGTTAAATGGGTCTGTTTTAGCCACATATACAGTAGTTAGGGATTAAACAGTGGCACCTGTCAGCACCTTATTTTCAGTAAGTATCATCTATGTAGCTTGCTCTACACTCACAAAGTAAGGGGAATACATTATTTAAGTGTGGAAGAGCTGATGGAACAGCGGGGGTGATGATGACCTGCCACTGCTGCTAAAAGAGAATCCTAGTGGAAAGACTTGAAAAGGTTTGTTATTGTGTAAAATGTCAGTAGAATAGTTTTTAATTACTGGACTCTTTCTTGATATGTATAGTTGTATTGTGTAACTGCTAAATGGGCATTGATTACATTATGATCAGTCTGAAGTTCTGTGTCACCAAGCATGTAGTGTGACAAATTCAAAACTGATTAATGGATTTCATCTACTGTTATAGATAAGTCTACTCTCTCAAAGCCACTCAGGTTGTTGATATGGAGACTATTGTGTTTTTTTGTGGAGTGCAGGAGGTTTTAGTTCATGTGATCACTCTTTGGTTGAGTACTCACAGTAGTGGGGTAAAGGTTTCACTGAGGGGTCGCTTTACACTGTGACTATTTTGTTCTTGTCTAGCTCACAGCAACCCCCACCATACCTCTATGGGAATAGTATGGGAAGTAACAGAGACTCAGAGCGGTATTTTGTTGCCTGATGCTGCTCAGCTTTTGCCAGTGCTGTGGTTATTTAAGGAATGCTGACTCCCCAGTTTCAACAGATCACGGGATCTGCAAGGGATGACCATAACCACTCAGACCAAATATGACTCTAAATGTCACAGTGTCCCTCTATCTTGTGGCAACCCACAAGTGACCATGTCAACCTTGTGTCATGGCACACAGAGCAGAGTCGCTGACCGGCTGTGTCTTTTTCTAGAGTCTGTCAGTTCGAAGGTCAGGGCTTGTCTGTTTGTGTACTACACACTTGGTGGATATTTTTAAAATGATACGTGTGTTTCACTACTAAAGAAGGTTATTCACTTAATTATTTAATCATAATTGATTCATTTTAATTTTTTGTGCATTATGCACAAATTATTAAAATATTTTTAATTATTTTTAAGATATATAATAATACAAAAGTAGTTTAGTCATTTGTAGTCCATCCCCTAAGAATTGTAATGTCATGTTCACATTTTTGCATGTAGAGACCCCAACCTTAAACTTAAAACTGGGTAAAAACTATAGAACTGTGCAAAAGTTTTAGGCCAGTGCATACATTTTTTTTTAAATGTCAACAAAATCAAATGTTGGTGGGGCTTCATTCCACCAGCATTCCATTGTCTAAACTTATGCTTAATCGAAATGGCTGTGCAGTTTGCAGCTACTTGTTGTTAAGACTTTGCTTCTGGTTCAATTACTGGCAGTAATGGAACTCGGCTGTGACAGAGCTGCCATTAAAAGCCAAAGAGATTTTCTCCATGTTAGCAGATTAGCAGATAAACTGAACCTTATACATCATTAAACGCTTTTTTAATATAGTGGATCACAGTTTTAACACTCAAGGCAAAATCGAAAAGGTAACAATTATGAAAAATTTGTAAAAAGTTGATGTTTTCAGTTTCAACTTGCTTGTATTTTTTTTTTTAGCATTTTTGCAGATTTTTGTGGAACCTATACAGAAGAGTTGAACCTGGAAGTTGATTTTGCTGGCCAGCTATACCACAGCTGGCCATTAGTGATTGACCTCAGGCTCTTATATTTCCTTAGGTGCAGTGGACACGCAGTAGTCTAAGCTATTTATTTTACAGATTCTTGTGAATTGTTTTTTTAATATATATAATGATTATTATTACTTTAGCAGTGCACACAATTTATGGTCAACAGCATAACAGCTGCTTTTATAGAACATACTATTTTTTCATATTTTTAATTATCAGGGCATTTTTTAAAAAAGTAGATCATTTTTAATACATTAGCATCAGTTGTTATATTTAGTAATTCTCAACAATCACAAACTGCAAATTAAGTGTAAAAAGCCAACCTGAGCGTCAAAAGAACTCTTTGATCGATGAGAGACTTGGGGAGCACTTTGACTGATTGAACCAATTTGTCCCACACAAACTCATCTGACTGGAGGTCTGGAGACTGAGGTCTCTTTTGAAAAACCCTTCCTCTTTGTATTTGTGTTGGTAATTTAGCTACTATCTTACTGCAAAACCAATGTGTGACCCACAAGATTTGTTTTTAAAGAAGTTGTATTTGAAAAGACGTTTTTTGGTCCCTGAGCCACACTCTCTCTCTCCAAGTGAGTGGGACAAATTGAATTGATAGGTGAAAAAAAGTGTGTCCAATGAATTTTGAACTTTGGGACACAGAACACCACTTTTCACACCAGCCTAAAACGTTTGTAACAGGGTCGGCTGGAATTCAAATGGGGCCGCATGAAATGTCCAGGAATTAATAAAAAAAAAACTGATAAAATCTTGATTGACAGCTGTGACTGCAAGTGACAGCTACTTAGATGTCTCAGGGGTCATACATTTGTGATATCAATATGGGGTCACAATGTAACTTTACAAGCAGTTTTCACTGTCAGTTACTCAATCTTCACTTTTTTTAGATGGCTATATTTATGCTTTCCAATCTGGGAATATGGGGTTTATGTTTTGTTGGTGTATTTGCATTCACTTTACTTACCTGATCCCACAGGGCAGCAGATTTAAAACATTCTGCCATTTCTTTTGTATTATAGGCTGCTCCATTACATGTTCATGCTTTGTAGTCGATGTTCACTACTGTATGTTTCAGTTTAAGAGTGTGTGAGGGAGAGAGAGAGAAAGAGAGAGAACACCCGTATCCTCCTTATGAAACCATGGTCAGGACACATACTGTGTCCCTAAGGTTAGCTCTGTGGAACATTCTGGGCTCAGGTCCCAGAAAATAGTGACATGTCAGCAGCCCATTCAAATGAACAGGCTGAGGGTAGCACTATGTTGGCAGTAATGCTGTGGGGGGTGGTGCAGGGCAGGAGAGCTAAAAGTGGTGTTCTAATGAACACTATAGGCATTAACCAGGGAATGTGAGACAACAATGGGTCCAGGTGTTCTGAGGTGGTTTCTGTCCACAGAGAACAAGAGAATCTTTGAGTTTGTCCTACAGTGGCTGTATGCTCTTTACATACATGTTACATGTTATTTCTGTTGTTGGAGATCATATAGTCATATGTTTCCTGAATGCTTTTACAGCTCACTAAAACCATATTTTGATGTTTTCCCATAATTATCAGTTTACACTCTGGGGCACAATCAAACAAATCTGTCGATTTAAAGAATTCTGTCAATTTAACTAATTTTTTTTAGCAAATACCAGTATTAGATCCAATAGGCCAAGATATCAATTCAAATTAATTTTTGTTGATGACTATATAAATGAAAAGACATAGGCTTGAACAACATATATACATATAAAGTGCATTATTACCTATGACTATTGCCACCTATTTAGTGATAGAGTCAGAATCAGTGTTCCTTGGGTTCCAGAAATAAGCAAAATAAAAAGGCTGCAATTTGTGTCATTTTGTATATTAACACATTGAAGTTCCACCCCTAATATTTTTTCAACTATTCTTTCAACTAATCTCGATAACATCCTGAAAATTGCATCATCAGCAGTTGTCACTTCATCACATCTGTAAAGCTGGAGTAAGCAAGAGTTGCTTGGGTCTATTTTTCACATTTTATTTGTTGAATATGTTGCCGTTTGAAACATTCCCCATGCTTTAGTTACAACAGAAAATTAAGTCTTTATGGTAGTTCCAAATTTTAGCTAAATGTTCATTAGTTCTTTATTGGTCTTATTTCTGTTGTATGGTAATTTCTTCATATTTCCAAATTGTATCTAAAAGAAAACCTACTACATACAAACCTACATATAGTAACAACAAGAGAAATAGACCAGATAAATGCTACTTGTTGGAGATCAGTTATCACTGAGGTGGATTAAAGGTACAATTACCAACTTTTAGTACAATGTTTTATCATAAAATGAATGGTTGAGTTTTCCATTTGTGTGTTCACCATTAGGTGTTCCTGGATTATTTCACACAGGCCTTTTTAAATAAGGCAGTTAAGTTTAGAGAACAGATGCTCACTAATCTTTCAATACATGCTGCATATCATGGTTGTTATTCAACTAGAATACAAAGCATTGGTGTTTTTGAATGTGATTATCCTGCCTTGAACTCTTCTGTCATTCACTTAATCACATTTGATCCATTAAAGCATTGCAAAAAAGAAATGTCTCGCTATATACTGTATATGATGTCATTACAACATTCTTGGTAAACTACATTCAAATCATTGTCAAGAGGGCATGATGTACATTTTACACTTTCTACTTTCATCTAATGTATAACCAGTGTGTATGCTAATTGTCCAACTGGAGCTGGTTGCAGTTGAATATATAGGATTTATCTAAACATTTAAACTGAGATTATTTAAAAAAATTGATTGCATGAAAGTATCTCAATTGCAACATTTAAATCAGATAAGGCTCCATTCAATTAGAGATTAAGGATCTGGCATTAGAGGTTTCGTAAGTAATGGACAAGTTCTTATTGTTGTTGTGCTCTTATGTCCTGTGTGATGTTTGCTTTAATAAACATTCATAATTATGTTATCTTTTACAGGTGCTGTCACTGCAACCATTGATCAGATTCAATGGAAATCAAGGGGTAAGATTTGTTTTCCTTTCTCTTTCTCAGTTTCATGTTTGCACAATTCTATTTAGTGTAATAAAACATTGGACAGTTTTAAAGGTCTTTAAGTTTTCAAACCTGTTAACAACCCTAAAAGAGTGACAGTTATTGAAAAAAACACCAAAGCCTTTGTATTATGACACTAGGTCAAATATCTTTGAAATCCATGAAATATGATTTTTTTTTCCAGCTTTGGTTAATTTCTTTATTTCCTTATTGACATTTCTGTCTTTATCTAGCTCCCTTTCTCCCTGTTACTGTGTTTTTAGCCATGTACCACCACACTGCCCTTTCACCCTGTATCCTCTTAATCAATTTACAATTCAGTATGATCTCAGTCTGTCTTTACATGTGATGGCCACATGGTGTGCCCATCAAGACACATTTTGCCCTGCGTCTGCATCGATTAGATTCAGTTCTCAAACAAGAATGTGCTCTTTGTTTGCTACAAAGAATCTGCTCTTGAATGACAATAAAGCACTCATAAAAATTAGCACATTACCCACTAATGATAGCCAGATTGATTTAATTGTGCAGTCATAATAAAAACTGTTGGACTTAGTGATGCTTTTAATTTAGGTGACATGAGATGGAAGAAAGCTCTGTATTACAGATAAAGGAAATACAAGGTTATGGTTTGGTAGATGAAAGTAGATGATGTTTTGATGGTGTTCTGGTGTTCTAATGTCAACACTGTTGACTTGTAAAGAGTAAACATAGAGTAAGAAAAATGAAACCTTTTATGGTTGTTTTAATATTGTATAATAATTCCCACCATTTATGACTCTTTAGTTTCTGTTAAAACAAAATGTATTGTTTATTTATTTATTTTGGGTGTCTGGCCCCCAAGGTCTGTCCCTCTCTCCAACAAATATAGTTGGTTACCCCTGATTTAAAACCAAATTAAGGGTTTCTTATAGAAAGCAGTATTCTGAATTGACTATTCAGCTTTGACAAATTTAACCAGTAGCTTCTGGTGACACTAAGTTGTCTTGTTTTTCAAGACCATCATACTCTTGTACTACTTAGCCTATTTTTGAACTCTAAGCTGTCATCAACAATGTCCCCGGGCCTCGGCTGTCCTAGGAGACAGACACAACCCAACTGCTAGCATTTTCTTCTGCCCGTTTGACAATTTTTTTATTTTTTTTATAGTTTTAACTATTGTTTACTAGTACTTGTGCATACAATAAACATCTTCACGCTCACCAGCATTTACTACACAAGCTGGTTCTTCCCACATTGGCTAAACCCAGGGTTTGCAAGCCTGAGCATGCACAGTCTGAAGTGCATATTTGCTCATCTGTGCTGTTAATGTTGGGAAAAAAATTGGGTAAGAGTTCTGCTGAAGAGCTCAGGTAGTTAAACATTATTCTGTCTCACTGTCATTGTTGTCACCAGGCTGCATTTTGTAGAATAACTGCTCCGTTCCTGAACACACAGAGCCCACAAGTCATCTGTCAATGTGTCACATGTACAACAACATTGCCTTTAACCCTGCTGCATTCTGTGTACTTCCTTTTAAATTTGATAATCAGACACAAGAATGTGACTGTGCACTAAAATTGACCATAGGTGTAAAGTTTGTTTATGAACTGGCTAACTTAAAAGTCTGCAACTACGCTATCTACATACATTTATTTTAAATCAATAAATAAATAGCTCATTGCAATTTGTATATAATGTTACATTTAAACTTACATTTCATCTATATTGTTTTCAGAATAAGAATGGCCAACCGCAGAACATTCCAGCCCTGTTTACAGTCGACCTTCCTCTTTTGTATTGTTGTTCTAAAGCTTTTCACACCAGTAAAATTCTCCTAGGTGTCAATCTCAGAAGCTTTACTCAACATATATGTATCTGTACTTAAATTCCTTAACTGTACTTCAGCTTTGTTTATATAAAACAATATGGTATTATTTCCATCAATGAATGCACTTGCCAAATCTAAATTGTTGCGCAATATTTCACATGCAACTGCATAGTTCCAGATGGTTGATTTGTTTGTCATCTGATGATTTAAGCCTATAAAGTGGTGTTATTTTCTGTTCCTGCAGCAGAGCACACAATCTTGAGCAAAATCTTTTGCGAGTGACATCAGAATACTGGGCAGAAGTGTTAAACTGACTAAATTACAGAGCAGATGGCCTTCCTGTCACATTGACATCCCATATTCATTATTTATATGAATTCATTCATCCGCTTCACTTCCTTCTCTCTCTCTCTCTCTCTCCCTCTCTCTCTCTCTCTCTCGCTGAGATGTGCAAATGTAGACACAAAGACAAAACATCATGTCTTTAGATTAAAAGGTACAGATTTCACTGTGGTGGAAGAGCAGGTAAATGGTATTTCCAGTCAGGTTCAATGTTTATTGGCCAAAAAAAACATTATTTGGTTTAATAAATTCTCTTGCATATAAAATGATCAAAAAATCCTGCAAAATGATTTGTTGGATTCAAGCTAAGCTAGTGTATTTTAAACCCACGTCGCTATTTTTTTTTTGTAAATGGTGGTATTAGGTCGATTTTTTTTTTTATAGTTTACTTTAATATTGACGATTGAATATTGACGTTATTATTATTAACCTTTTGTACTCATCAGGCCTTTAGTTTAAGAATTTCATGTTTGTTTCTTTTTTTTAAAAATAGGTGGGAATCAATACTTCACACTTGCAAAATTATGTTTCACTTCACAAACTCACAATGATATATATTGCTTATGGTAATTTATTTCAGTTTAAATTTAACAACCCGTGTGTCAGAATGTCACCTCCTACAAACGTGTTAAATTTAATCATAAGGATAATGCATATTTTGTGAAAGTAAAACTTAACTTCTTTCGGAGTCCATTTGGTGTGGAGGAGCCTCTTTCATCCTCTTCACTGTGAGTCAGCTGAATTACTGTGTCGCACCTTGTCTTTCAGCCAGTTCCTCTGCATCATCTCAGAATAAATGAACTCTAATGCCCCTTGTTCAGCTACATCGAAGTATCCATCTAACATATGTGTGTTTGTGTTTCATAGGCTACGTATAACGAAGTAAACTGGTCGGCTTGAAACTGTCATTATCAATAATAAGAATTTTGTTTGTCCTGAATTAACATGGAAATTAACAGCAGTAAGTATGTGCTGTTTCATGCTAAACACAAAGCTATTTCCATGTTAATGCCTGTTAATGCCTCTGTCCTTGAAATTATTTCAGACATCGTCAGAAGTAAATTTCATTTAACACACCTTAACGCACCTGAAAAATACATGTCAACACATGCTCATTTGAGATATGCATGCTTGTTGTTAAATGTAGTAGAATAGTAGATGATAAACAGGGCAGTGGTCCACGCTGGGAATGGCGAGTAAAAATGTGACTGAGAGCAGGTCTCAACTAAAAACTAAGGGAGTGTAGCATTGAAAAGGGAAAGATTGTCTTTTCATGTAAAATATACCAAAAACGTAGCATAAATCTGGTAATATAGTCAATAACCAGGTCCTCCACAAAGGTGAATAAAGGGCATTGTATTTATTTTTAGCTGACCACCTGCAGCCTTCACATGTGTTGAGGCCTGTGGTAAGTGGAGTTGAGCTGCCTACACACTGATCACATGTCAGTGCAGGTTTTGTCTGTAACACAGGTTCAAATGACAATCCACTTTTTTTCTCTGCTCTGCAATAGTCCTGCTTGGACAATTTCACATTATGATAATTAGTACTGATACTAGTACTACTATAAATTGGGTTTCAATGAATATGCAGTGAAAGGTGGAAGAAATAGGGTAACAGGCAGTGCGTGTGTGTGTGTGTGTGTGTGTGTGTGTACTCAACCAAAACCACAGTGAGGACACCAGATTCCAATCCAAAAGAAGAAGATATAATAATATACACATATATTTAATTCATCTTTTCTCTTCTCTTCAAAAGAAAATTTCAATACCACGGTCTGAAAATTCCAGTGAACTGCAGTCGTTTACTTTTTACCTGTCCAATGTGGGCAGAGATAACCCCCAGGGCAGCTTTGACTGCATCCAGCAGTACATCACCAGGTAAGAAGAAACATTCTTTGTCTCTCTCATTCTCAACAGTTACCATTCCAATCAATCAATAGCTTTCAGTTATGCCTTACATAATCAAAACTGAACGAGGAGGTAATTCTGGTTCATAATAACATTTGGCAGAATGACATGTGCATTACTTATGTTAATTCAGGTAACAAACCTACTTTGAATAAAACAAGTGTGATATTTGAGAAGGACAACACATGTTTGGAGATAATGTGATTGGCTATTTTTGTTATATTGTTTAACTACACTTCTGATACGGCCAAAGAATCCGGTGAAGTAGCAATTCTTTTAGCTTTCTTACAAGTAATTATCAAAGTAATGTTAGTGTTGGCCATAGTTGCACTTAATTTGTAATGCTTCGAAATAGTTCACAAATGGAAGTAATACCTAATGTTGGCTTGTGTGGATTAGCTGGCCTGTGAAAACGAGCTGCTGATGACCAAAGCAGCTCTGCCAGGTTGAAAAACGAAAAACATTCAGGTGCTTAGCCGCTGCACCTAGACTCAGACCCCAGGCTTTAAGGCACCAACTACCTTGTCCAAGCCTACTAAGTTGGCTGCAAAGCCTTCCATGGCTCAGGGCCTGCATCATCATCCATCCAAGAACTGGATGTGCAGGAAGGGAGCAAATGCCAGGCTCAACAATCCGAGGACAGTCTGCCTAGTTTGAGGTCATGGAAAAGTGTTTTTGATGGCAAGAAATGTCGGAAAAGAAAAAAAAAACGTAATAGGAAAGATTGTGCGCTCTGTTTTCCCAGAGCTGCTCCAGGAGATAGCAGTAACGTGGAAAGACAAACAAATCCGAGAGAAATGGTGTATTGTTGTTGAGTAGGAGGTGTAAGGAATGCTGTGGTGCTGCCTATCTTGCCGATAGTTTGACCTAAAGAATTCTTTCTCACCTTTGGGTCTATCACTCCTAGCCAGCAGACTGCTGTCATCTCAGCATTGAATACAAAACTCCCAAATAAGATTACTCCTTGTAGGAAAACCTTTGTGTCCTAAGAGACCTTGTTCTCCACCTCCACAAAGTCTCTTAAAAACTGTAGTTATAGGCCTTAAAATGATGCTTACATAGGCTAACCAAAAAAGTGGACAGTTTTAAACATTGTCTCCTGTTGTTTGATGAAATTGCTCACAAGGGCCAATCAGGTGCAGCTGGATTAGCCCAAGTCTCCTAGGGTACAGGTTGTCCCTCATTTTTTTACCATCACAATTTTTCATTTCCAGTAGAGCTTTCTCTTAATGTTAAGTAATCTTGGATAAATATATATTATACTTATATATTTTTGTCTTAATTTTCTATATAAATATAATTGCACTCCACCTTTTGCAAATGGTATTAAAATATATTGATACAAATTTTGCATTTTATTTTTGTTTAACTGCATCTGTGCTTTGTGTAGTGTTGTTCCCTTTCCCAAATCAAGTCTGCAACCTAATCCTTCGCATTCTCCTCAGTCTTACATCTGCTAAAACTGCTAGTTAGTCAGAAGCCAAGAGTTTGTGTTTAACAGAAGAAATATTAAGGTCTAAAGGAACAACACCAACACTCCTCTGCTTCTCTGACTGCCACCTCTTTAAGATATTATAGCATTTTGCTCAGATGAAGTTCATCCACTGTGACTTGATCCTAATTGGCCTTGAGGTCCAATGGAAAACCAAAATTACAGAGTTCTCCTCCAACTCAGGCACTTTTGCTGCCAATTTGTCGTCAAAGTGAAGGAGAATCTAGTTGCAGTGGAGGAATGCACAGTTGAATGGACTGTTCAAATAAAAAGTTGTTCAAAGGGTGTAAACCTGACCTGTATAGCTATTAATGTACTAAAAATGATTTTTGCAGAAGTTGAGGCTAAGGCTGACAATTAACTTAGTGTCTCATATGTGTGTACTGTATATGACATTACATTTTAACCTGTTAACGTCACATAGGCAGAACAATCATACAGCACCCTTTCTACCAGTAGTTCTTCTTCTGGAGTTCCTCTGTTCTCTCACTGTCACCTCTTTGTGTTTTGGCAGTGAAGGGAGTATTCAACTGGATTGTTTGGGTGGAATCCAGGACAAGATTACAGTGTGTGCCACAGATGACTCATACCAGAAGGCCAGAGAAAACATGGCCCAGGCTGAGGAGGAGAGTCGCAGTAGGAGTGCAATTGTCATCAAACCAGGGGGAAGATACTTAGGTGAGAAGATGTTCTATGTTGGTTCATGTCATGATGGGAATGAAATGCACTGTAAACCTAGTTCCAAGTTGGCTCTGAGGGGTCGAAATTAGTTTCATATTTGTTGAGATAGGAAGATATCGCATACATTTATCATAGTTGCAATTAAAAACTACTCTTAAAATGTTTTCCATATTGTCTGTTTTCCAACTTCTGCTCTGTTCACATTCAGGAAAAAAGGTCCAGATACGGAAACCCGCGTCTGTCGTCTCGGATATTGCCCCGCTGAGAAGAACTTCTCGACCTGTTATCATCTCTAGTAGTAATATTAAAAAAAGTGCAACGCAGCATCGGCCTCTCAGAGAGCGCCTCATACACTTGCTGGCCCTTAAGCCATACAAGAAGCCGGAGCTGATCCTAAGGTTACAGAAAGATGGGCTCTCACCTTTAGATAAAGACTCCCTGGACAGCCACCTGCAACAGGTCTCAGATTTAATCACATGTATTACCTTCTGATACGTATTGCTTGTACATTAGCCAGTCAGACCCTTACTATTTCCATTTAGCCCTATAAGAGGTCATTGTACTTGAACTGTGCCATTTTCCAGGTGGCGAATCTCAGTGGGAGAGACAGCACCTTCACATTGAAGGACTTTTTGTTTAAAGAAGTTCAAAAGGACTGGCCGGGCTATACAGAAGGGGACCAGCAGCTTTTGACAAGAATCTTGTTCAGGTAAATCAAATAAATACAAACTGAGGTTTTGATTTTCATAAAGAGCTATGGTAGTTGTGTTGCAAATTATATGGAAAAATACTTTGTTGTAGTAAGAGATTTAGTCTCCTTTTATTTGGTTAAGATATATTTATTTATTAATACCACAGACATCCCAGACCTCCCTACCACCTCCCGCCTTATGTCTCTGCTCATCTCTGCTCTTTAGTAGACATTGCTAAGCCTCCTTCACTCTTTAGTATACTAAAAACCAGACAATAAACCTAATGAGACATCTGGACTATCTCTATTAAGAGCTTTTTCCACACCCCCAAACACTCAGCAAATGAACATGTTTTGTGTGTAAGAGTGATAGAGAAAGAGAGGTAGAAATAGGCAGACAGACACAGGCAGAAGAAAGGGAAAGAAATCAGTGCTTCATCAGGAGTGGCTAACAAAACAGCGGATCTGGCAGACACCTATTTACAATTTATGATCAGGGCTTTTTTTATTTTATTTTATTTCTCAGCTGTAATTTATCCTCATAAATTGTATAAGGATTGGACAGAGCCATCCACAGCTTTCAACAAAAACCCTGGAAGGGCACTGCTCCTTTCCGAAAGACCAGTTTTATATTGAAGTCTTAGAAGATGAGGCGACTTTTAACACAGTTTAAACACAGCTTTAATTGTTTCCCTGGCGACCATACAGTCTTTATTCTAGCTTTTGCCAGACCTGCAAGATGTCTGTTTTATAGACTCTTTATGAATTTATAGAGGAAACAAGTGTGCGTTAAGTACATACTTGAGACCTTAACTTAACATGGAGGAAAAAAAATTGGAACTGTATCCTTTTTAATATTTGGACAATTGACGTTAACCCCTAAACCACATTCACTAACCAGCCCTGTGAAATTGTGTTGCATCTTTAAAGTAAAAAATCTTAAAATGTGGTTTTCTGGGGCGGTTATATGTCCATTGTTTAACGTCAGTAGACAGGTTTTAAGTAGGGCAGCACCAATACCAGTATAGGGTATCTCCTATCTCGATACTGCCACAATGCCTTCTTGGATGTCTGTCACTTTAAGCGACTGTTAGCAACAGGAGAAAAGCGAACTGCAACTATGTTCTGTCAAAACAAGAATTGTGGCACCAGTTGGTTAAACACCAGCAAGGTCCTCACTCTAGCAGTGAATGGAGTGCTGTAGCTGTGAGGAACATCCCTAATGTTAGGTATAGTAGAATAAGCAAAAATGCTTTTCATTGAAATTGTGTTTGCGTAGTGAAGGCATGAAATGAAGGCATTTCTGTAAAAGACAAAGCCAATCTGATGTATCACTGCTGTATTGAGGCAGTAATGGGCAGGTTTACTGCCAAGAAGTCTCAACAAGTTTATACAGAGTGGAGTTTTAGGATTGCCACAGCTTGTTATTTGTCCCACTTTCCAGCTGTAACAGATGCCCCAAGGCAGTCTCATCTTCCCATGACTATACACATATTTGCACAGAATTTTATTGAGTTGTATTGCATTGTTTATGTACATCATTGGTATTTGCATTATACACATTTACACATGAATAGTCAAATTTTTTTAAAGGTGTCATGTAGGTGAAAATGTAATGTCCAAGAACAGCCAGTAGAGACGTAAATATCCATCCAACATTTAATTTAGCTGCTAATCACTATTTCATGCAAGTAAAACTGTTACATTCATTCTTTTTTTTTAATTTAAGTTTTAGTAGTGTAAGCCCAAATGTGTTATAGCTTGGATTCCTGTGCAGAATGTACTGTAGTCTGTCATTGTTTGCAGGCAGCGGCACTGCCAAGTAGAGCAAAACCTAATTTGCAGTTTGTATATAGCCTATGATTTCAGCTCTTGTGGTCACTCTCAGATTTCTTTTAGATCTTAAACAGCCTACTGAGAGGTTTTGGTGCAAAATCTAATAAGTAGTTCATGCGTGTACGTGATGTGTTTTGTTTGTAAAAGCAGTAGCAGAGGCCATGTGTGTGTGTGTGTGTGTGTGTGTGTCTGGGCTTTAACTGTACTTTGAGCTGTGTGTTAGTTTATCAGCAGACTATCAATCCTGGCCTCCCACCTCCCTCCCCCCTTCTATTCCCTGCACCGTCAGAGTTTTGAGCTAATATAGTCAGTCACGCAGCAGCACAGCAACATGATCGAAACGTACATGAGGCTACACTGTTCTGGCACATGCTGATCCTAGTGTCAGGTGGCACGGGTTCAAGGTTTTCCCATGTGTCAACCTGCTATCTCACTTTGAGGCTTCAACATGTCTCACTGACTGGCCATATTTATACTCAACGTTTCACAAACACACACACACACACACACAGGCAGACACACACATCTTATCATTGCCTGGCAGAACCTGGCTGGGCCATTGATATGACTTAATGTTTCAGTAAATAGGAGGGGTGTAAGAAAATATTGATACACTAAAATATTGCAATATTTAGCTTCACAATACCATATTAATATTTTACAACACTTTATATTTTTTTTATTAACAATTAACATTCAAATATTCAAAGCTTTAATATTGATACACTAAAATATTGCAATATTTAGCTTCACAATACCATATTAATATTTTACAACACTTTATATTTTTTTTATTAACAATTAACATTCAAATATTCAAAGCTTTAGTTAATTTTTGTGTTGCATTTAAACCTCAGACCGCTAATTACAGTCATACAGTATTTGAGACTTTGAGTCAAACAGTCTTATTTTTTTCATTTAGTTGTCCTAAAAAAACTTTGTTCTGCGGCGATTACAAATGTAGATCACTCCGTTCCATTGTTAGTAACGCGATGTCACTCCTGTAACTGCGTTGTGTGTTTACTATGCTGATAGTTACGATTAAAATGTTTTAAATAACCCAATATTTCGTCATGCCCACGATATCCTGGTAAATGAGAATTACTTTTGTTTTGACTTGATTGATGAGGCACTGCTCATTGATTTCGATTAATACGTATTCACTGTTGCATTTACATCCACATAACATCAAATGGAACTTTGTCTGTACTTAATACTTAATGCACCAAACAGTAAAGCTAATCAACCTAAATAGCTAATAGAATACATCAAGTTCCTCGACAAACGGTCAAAGGTGGTATTTGTGAACTTTGTGAATAAGTGTGAACCTTTCATATTGGCTTGAGGTTGAGATGCCTTTTGTGGCATTATTGACAAAATTGTCTTGTTTATTAGTTTGAATCGTAATAACAATGAAATGTGAACTCCACAAATTCCAGGCTGAAAACATTGATTAAATGCTTCTGGGTTCAAAATAGTATCGAGTGATTGTCAAAGTTATGTCAATTTCTGTCTTTGTGTGTCTGTGTCCAAACTTATAGAAAGCAATGCCAAACCCAGAACAGCTCTGCCCCTCCACCAGAGAGCCCACCCAAAGAGCTGGCCAGCAGCTCGCCCTCGCAGGTGAGCTTTCTGTTCCCAGACACACATGAGCTGCGAGTTCTTCATGTGCTCATGGGTTGGATCATTCTTTTTCCTTCAATTTGAAATTTCTCTTTGACGTATTTTTTTTCTGTTGGGTCACTTGAGTTTTTGTTGAGTAAATATAAAGACTCTACTTGTTAAAGCAATTTTACCTTGTAGCAGTTTTACCCAGGGCAAGTGTGAGAGAAATATATATACTTAGTTCCTTAAGTACAGCCATTATATGGTGAGAAACAGATGCACAGAGAGCAGGGCAAGTGTGAGAGAAATATATATATACTTAGTTCCTTTATGGATAAACGCAGACAGGCAGAGAGAGTGAGGGAATTGAACTGCTAGTCTTAGTGCTGCTTCATTCTACAGTGTGACTTTGTCTGATAAAAGGCTAATAATCTTATTAGGAAAGAACCATCTTCTTCACATCCTCACTGTATGTCTAGGCCTGTGCTGCTGTATTTCATGTTGTATCATGTTGTACTTGTGGTACTTGGAAAACCGCTGCACAAAATATCTTTTTTCTGAAGTCAAATTTTTTTATGTTTGTCCAGACTCTTGAGTTGAGTTTATGTATTGTTTAGTCTAGCACAGATGCATGGACTACTTTGGTTTATTAGTAGGTTCTTATTCCAATTTTGTTCCCATTCCCTCTCTGACTAAATGTCTTTTTCCTTTTCGTTCACACCTTTGGTAAATATGGTGCATGCACACACTAGCAAACAGCTTATGTGGATGTGCACACATTTAAAGTAAAGTTGGAAAAGCAAGGAGATAGTGTGTCATGTAAACCTCAAGAAGGTAGTAGAAACAAATAGGTAGTGCTGCAGATGCAGAATTTTTTATTATTTCTTCTAAAACTGCTGTCACCTGAGGGGAGACCTGATGTTGCTCCATAAACAGTTTTGTCTTCAAGGCCAACATGAAGCTCATCCTTGGTTCTTCTTTCAGCCCACACATACTGGGTCAAAGACATTAGTGTCAGCTGGGGTCAGTTGGGACCCATTTATCTCCCAGTGTCATCTGCAGGTTACATCTGTCTAAGGGAGAAACTACTTTTTCCTTTGGAGGCTGAGTTTGTTTGTTGTGCCTTTTACATCACTTCTATATTACACTGTGTTTTATCTGCTCTACTTTTAACAAGGAAATCCCAGGGTAATGGGTTATTGTCTACTTCCTCTTGGTTTTTTAGTGAGTTATGTGTGATGTGTGCTATAAACAGGTTGTGCATCTCAAGCCGCTCACTGGATAGGGTATATTGCAAACAAGACTCTATCACAGAGACCAGAGGCAATACTATAGTGATTATAGATACAGTTGAACTTTGAAATCAGGAGCAGTGGGATAGTAAGCTTTTGCTCTGCTTTGCAAATATTAGTGTTTTATTTAAACCTTTTGCAAAGCAAGAAACAGTGGCTACTGCCTTCACTGTTTTTTAACTAATTGTAATGTTAACTTTATCAACCATAACTAAAACTGTTTTTGTGTTGGTCCTTCTAGAAACGACCGGCTGCTGACTTCATCGATCCTCTCATCAACAAAAAGCCCAGAATATCACACCTCGCCAGCAAGGCTGCAACAGCCGCTCTTAATGGCAAGTTGAACGCCTCCAATGGGAGAGGAGAGACAGGTGGAGGACAGGCAGATGCTGTTCCTATGTCTGATAGTGGGACGACGTCCAGCTCCCAGCACCTTCCAATGCTGGACATTCCCCGTCCTTTCGAAGCACTGTCAGATGTCAGCAATGACTCCAGCCACAATGGGAGAGACTGTGACCCTCAGGAGTCAGCCGTGTCGGAGAGGCTCAGCCAACCACTTTCACAATTTTCGACAGCGCTCACTACACCCAGCATCAGCACGTCGTCTTCTGGACACTCACTTCTGGATGGCACCCGGGACAAAAGTCTCGTGTCCTGTAATAGCAAATCCAGAAAGAAGTCCAAAAAACATAAAGAGAAGGAGAAGAGCAAAGAGAAGGAGAGGAAGAGCAAAGACAAAGGCAGAGTACCAGAAATAAATCAAGAAAAGGTGGAGGAGAGAAAGAGTTGTGACGAACATGTGCCTAAGCTTAACAAAGCCTGTGAGATGAGCCTGAAAAACCTCAAAAGCAACAGTATTTCACAGAAAAGCACAGGTGAGAGCAACACGCAGACTGAATATTCTCCTCTACATCTTATTCTATATGGAACTATTTTTACTTTCGCTCCAATTCATTATAAAATTAGCTCCTAATGTTGTTACAGATCTGAATGGAATGTGCAACCGTACTGGTATCCCGTCATCAGTGCCTGAAGTGGCTGAATACCTTGTGTAAGTATTTCAGAAGCAGCTTCAGATCCTACTGCACTTAGTGACTGTGCTCCATGTGTTTTTCTGTTATTTGCTAAATAAAGCTGTGTAGTGCTAAACTGGTGCATAAAATAGAACATAACTAATGGTAAACTGTACATTTAGAAGCAATTTTAAAAGTACAAAACATGTAGTGATGACATAGTTTTACTATACACAGACTTGCCCTCTCTGACTCACACATCCAGTGTTTATCAGGGTTTCTGGTCAATCTCATTGGAGGGACTCGTTTTCTGAGAAGAAAACAAACTGCCCCAGCCTGTCAGTTTGTAAGGCACCACTAATAACCAGCAACTGTAATGTTTGACAGGAACACATGCCTACGAACATTTCAGTAGTACCATGGCTTCTCTGGATTGTCAGTGTGTACAGTTCTGTGTGGGTAGTCCTGCAGTAATTTTTAACGAACTCTTATCAGAGCAGAGACAGACAATTTCTATTTGAACAGTGTTTTCTCAAAAAAGAGAGAGAAAAGGGAGCGTGAGCAATTAAAAAAAAACTAAAGATATGAACAAAAAAAACAATTTGGAAAATGGAAGTAGAAATTTAACTGGTAAAAAAAATCTTCACTGACCTGACCAGCACTGACCTGACCTGCACTTTAGCGAAGCATGAAAATATAAACTATAATGTGGTGATTTAAATCAGTTTGTGAGTAATTGGTGTCACGTTGAATTATATTGACAAACAACATTACGTACAAAGCTGAAATGTTTCTAACACATCCTCTCCTTGTCCTCCCAGGGTTTACACAGTGATTGACTCGCCGGAGCAGCGCCAGAGATATAAAAACGATTTCAACGCAGAGTACAGTGAATACCGCGGTCTCCATGCTCGCATAGAGAGCATTACTCGGCAGTTTACTGTGCTAGACAATGAGTTAAAGCAGCTTCAGCAAGGCACAGAAAAGTACAAGGTAGATTTCTACTGTATTACAAGCAAAAATCTATTCAATTTCAGAAAATATCTTCTTGTAAAGTGGGTTGATTTTTTTTTTCTGTCTGTTCACAGACAATCCACAATCAGATACTTCAAGAATATCACAAAATAAAAAAGGTAAGTGTAACTGTTAAATTTACTATAGTAGCACAAGTAACTGAGTGGTTTATTCCACTGTGACGTTGTTATTTTTATGTCCCCTGCAGACTAATCCAAACTATAACCAAGACAAGAACCGCTGTGAATATCTGCACAAAAAACTGGCACATATAAAAAGACTTATTGCAGAGTACGATCAACAACAACTGGAAAAGTAGTTTTTTTTTTTGTTTGTTTTTTTTTTACCTTGTTTCTCTCATCTCTGGAAAACAAGCAGATAAAGAAAAACTGGATTCCAACTTGTGCTAAAACATTTTTTTGTGAAAGATGTCATGAAGAGTATTTTCCTCAATATGGGGCTGAAGGTTCCCCTGAGGACTAGGCAAGACTCGTGATCTTTTTTTCCCCCTCTTTCTTTTGTTGCTTTTGTTGTTTACTCCCTTATTTCGGAAAGAAAAACTGGCCTGCATCTGGTTTGGTCCAGTCCATCTGTGTGGTTCCAGTGCATTTGGAAAGAAATGTTCATTGGCATAAAAGCCTTTGTTATATGCACATGAGTCAAAACATGGGCGCCAACTGTGGGACGCCCCCTAAATGTTTCTGCTGTAGAAACTGCAGGTAAAGAAACACTAAGATGAAAACTGCTGATCGTATGCCAAGCGACTCATTTGGTTTTTGTGAAAAGAAAATTTAAGTTATGTTGCCTCGGTTCCCCTATTTACTGGAGCGAATGTTGTGATGTTCTCTTTGTCTTCTCTCTTTTTATTTATTTTTGACACTTTACTAGGGGAAATGAATCGTGTTTTACACTCCTTGACACCAGTACTTAAAACTTAAGTCTCTTTTTCTGGAGTCCTTATATTCTTAAATGTCAAACAGTGTTTTCACTCTGAAGCTGCCTTGCTCATACAACTTGTCAGATCTGCTGGCATTCATAATCATGACTCTGTTGAAGAGATGCATATATTACTCTGTGACTCAAGTCAAAACCATGCCTCTTAATGCACACACACTTAGATGCACATATTTGCGCTTGGCTTTACTTTTACAAATCATATGAAAATGTCTTAATATGGGTAATATGGGAAGGTCGTACTCGCAGTTTCCAGGTATAAATTTTCTCACTCTCATTTGTTCAGTGGGAGCTGCAGTGATTTTTCAGTCAGGGTTAGTGGTCCTTAGTTATGTTCTCATCATGGCCTGGCCAAACTGGGTTTTGGGGTTTTTTTTGTTTTTTGTTTTAGTTTTCAGGGATATTATTTGTAATGCTAATAATGTTCATAATACAAAGATATCTGATCTGAAGATCATCTCCAGTCAAGCTATGTGAGATCCTCTCATTGTAAGATGATGCAAACAAAGATTTCAGCTCTGAAGGATTTCTCTTTAATCTCAGAATTTTCTCGACTTCAGACACTGTAAATCCTTACGTTGTTCCTATAGGACGTGCTAAAACAGTGTTTACAGTGTAGATACAGGGCTCAGACCTCGTGGAACCCCATTTAAGATGACTGTTAAGATGATGTCATTAGTAATCATCCCCTCAAGTAGAGTACAATGGACCTCCCATTAGGAAAAAAAAATGACATGTTACACGTGACCACTGTTTGCCTTTTCAAATATGATGTCAGATATTCAGTGTGAGGTGGTGCAAAAGTTTATCGCCTGCCAATGAATCAAATCAACTCATCGACGAAGTATTTAAAATGCTGTATCAGAGGTTGAGCTTTTTCAAAGAAATCCTCGGTCTTTTTTATGTGAAAATGAAAAATCAGCACTTTTTGTCTAAATGACACTTTTCCTCTTTGTCCATCTGAGTGCATGCTTTATGAAAGTGTTAGACGAGCGGTCTTTGTATCTTTACCTAAAAAGACAAATAACCTAAGAAGAAGTGAAGTGAAGGTCCATTTGTACCCAGTTGGTGCCTGATTATGACACAACGGTCGGACTGGCGTGTACAGTATACCAAAGTTTTTACTGAGCCGGTTGACATGATGGCGCCCAACCAAATGTTAACCAAGGAACATGTCACAATATGATCCATGTTTCTGTTCTTTCATTTGCTCCATTTGACTAGTTTTCAGTTTTTCTGTGAGGAGTGAAAGGAGGCTCCTTTACTAGAGACAGGAATGGCACCACTGGGCTCAAGTGTTGTAAACAATGTCAGTCTGCTCAATGACATCACAGACACTACATAAGGCCAATGCTCTGAGATTCCCCATGGGTGCTGCCATGGTCAGAACCAATACTGGAGTCAGGTCCTGACAATGTGAATGTCCAGTCAGTGAAGTCAGCACCTGCCCAGTACCACAACCCTGAACCATAGAGGCCCCGTTGCTTTCCTGTATGCTTCTTTACTGTGTTACACATCTTTCATGGTCAATTAATGTGTTTTGTTTTTTTTCTTCAAATTAATTTTGCTGCAATGGAGAGCAAACTGTATTACTGAGTAATGGATGCCAGCACAGGAGTGTCACCGTATGAGTTGTGCCAAAACAAACTGTTGTTTCAAGTTTTTTTTCCTCTTTCCTCTGAGCATATACATGCTGCTGTATTAGCAAAGAGTGTTTTGGAGAAGAGTCATAAAATGTGGAGGCTAAAATCCAAAGCACGCTTTTTGAAAACCATAAGGGACTGGGACTGAAATTGATATTTGTTTCAATAAAATTATATGAAATCCTTATTGTGCAATTCTGAACTGCATTGTTACTAGTTATCACACAATAACTGGGACTGATCCCATCAGTTATTGGGAAGGGACCTACTGTGTTACATACAACAAGGCTACATATAGACAAACAACTGTTTACACTCAAACTTCTATCTATGGTCGGTTTAGAACTGCCCTCTAGATGTGGTTTATTGGTTTGTTTTATCTCTCACCACAGGGGAAAGTCCAAATACAAACATTTTTAAAAACATGCCACTTAACCAGTAAAGTGATGACATACTGTGGATTATAGGGACCGATTTTGTTCACTTCCTGTTGTGACAGCTCTTATTCTTACAGGTCATTGCATCAACAGAAATGTACTTCTGATCTCTAATAAAAAAGTCCTAAATATCTCAAGGTATTTACTACAAAAATTTTGTTTTAAACTGTTTATGTTGTTGAAGAAATATTTATAAATATTACGTTTGGTAATATTTTTTTTCATTACCCTTCAATTCTGTCCATGTTGACATTTTGTTGACATGAGAGTTGTAATGCTGCATATGTCCTGTAGATGGCAGCAGTCCCAAAGTTTGCAAACCTTTTTTTTTTTTTCAAACAAAGCAACGAATTAAAATAAGAAACGTGTTTGTTCCCTCACATTTCCCCTGCTTCTCCTGGTGTTTTTTATCTCAGGTACTTCCCTCACAAATCCAGCTCGTAGTTGCTTACTTCTAAAGTGCATTCCCTCATTAACCGCAAATGTAAACTTGCTGCCAAATGTGTGCCTCACACACAAACGTGGATTCTAAAAAGAACCTGACATGGCAGCGTGAACAGAAGATGCACTGACGAGGCAAGTGAGAGGACGCTGCTCGGTGTAATCTGACACAGTGTGAGATCACAGGAATCTACATAGCGACTGAGTTCCAGTTGGCTGTGCTGGGTTTGAGCCTGAGTCTTGCTGTGCTGCTACTGGCTCTCCTCCCAAAGTTGGCCTCAGCACTGCTGCTCAGGGAGCTGGAGGGGGCTCCGGTCAGTGAGTGCATTGTGGCAAGCTGCCATCTCTCCCTCCACTCAACATACAGCAGCGTGTACACTGACATGTTTACACACACAGCTGTGGGACTGGGGTCGACTTCCCTCCCCCACTCTTCCTCAGAGGTTGACATCCCCTACTCAAACATACTTTAAATGTCTGGAGGTCAACGGTGAAATGGAGGAAGAGCCGGAGTCCCTCATCTCCGCTGCAGTGCAGATTTGAACTTTGATGTGGAAATATACGTAGTCTATGGCTGCAATCCAAGGTCAATCAGTTCTTGTCATCAGGACTATTGGCCAGTGACTAAGACATTTGTTTTTAAGTGCTTTCAAGTAACTGAATGTTTAAGCGTTGCATTCAAATACAAAACAAAAGCTGCCCTTAAATTGCTGTGCCCTCATACCGTCTGTGTACGCTGCTGAGACTGAAATATTTGAAAGTCCTTGCTCTAAATACAAACCTTCTGTATTCATGTTAACAATACAATGTGGTGTAGTAAATTATTTCAGGCAAAAATAACCAAACAGCATGTTGGGATTGAGCCATGTTGTTATCTCCAGCAGCCAGGGACGCTTCCCTGCCCTGATTCCTATGTCACATAGTGCTGTTCTACAGTAAGATTAATGAGAGTCAGTGGAGGTTCTGCTGTCTGTGGCATTTTCTGGAATACAGTCATTTTGTTGAGCTCAGTAATTATAGACAGTTGAAAATACTGTAGTACGAATAACCAGGATTTAAGGTATCAGAAAAATGATTTGTAATTCATTTTTAGTTTTTTCAATCTCTGAAAAAGGCTAGATTAAATATTCCTGCTATAAAATGAAATAAATAAAACCCAAACCAATTAACAGACAAGTGTGTACACTTTCTAAAAAGTCAAGATCTGTATCATGTTATTAATTTAAATTTCTACATTTACACAGGTACAAAACAGGGTCAACTTGAATCCATTTATTTAAATCAACTTAAATTAATATGTTTGTTTAAGAAAGCTTTGTTTAACAGACACATCTTAAACAATCATGTCTCATCATCCGGTGTCTGCTTGCTTTCGTTAGTGTCACATCCACTGCCGTGACCTTCAGTGCCATGTCCAAACCACTGGAGGAGAAGGAGAGGAGAGGATTGTTTCCTCTGCATATTCAGTGATTGTCCTACAAAGTAACGTGAGCCTCATGAGAGACTATTAAGATGCACTCAAGTCAACTGTCATATCATTGTACTTTGTAACATGTTAGAGTAATCTTAGTGTTTAATATAATATTTCTTCTTCCACTTTTGGGTTTTAGGATCGACCTTTTGAAATGTAATCAGGTTACTTTCTCTGGTCCAGATCTCTACACTGGAGCTGAATCATGCAGAGCTTTTATGAGTAAGGATTGCTCGTTTTTTTTGGTTTTTTTAAAATATTTGTTATTTCTAAGCTGACCTTTCCGTGCAGCCACATCCACACACATCCTTCCCTGATGCCTTATTCTTTCTTTCCAGTCCTACACCAGCCACTCTCAAAGCAAGTTGTTGACCAAGTTGTTTGTTACATGCTTGTTTTGCCTTAAGCCTATAATTACAAAAGTGACAAATATGAGAATGACTTCTTGACTTTATACTGAGGTGCTAAATTTGGGTTTAAATGTGCAGTCTGTTTAAAAGTCAACAACATGGACAACATGTGTCTCCCATCCCTACAAATGTGGTTTCTGTCAAAGCTGCTACATAGGAAAACACTCCAAGTGCCCCAGCCTTCTGTCACAGTGGACTGGAGTTGACGATGATGAGGATATGTGTGACTCTACTGTGACTGTAGTTGTCAATGTGCAAGGTAGCTTGTCTGAAAAGATGGTAGAAACTCTTACTTTGCTGCTGTGTATGCTCAAAATCCCTTTTTACTGAACTACTTGTTCAGTTGGAGTATCATGAGTTTGCTGACAAATCAGGGTGTTCCAGTTAACACTGGGTCTACTGTTAGTTTTGGCTCAGCACATTTTCTAGGTTTCCGTGCCTATAGAATAATATTCAAGCTTCCTCTGTTCCTACTTCTTCATGTTGTGCTCAGTTGTTTTACAGTTTCCCTCAGAGGAATGTTGAACAGGCATCATATGGGCCTCACTTTATAAATTAAAACAGACTGTCTGAGGCCGACTGTGATGGTGCCCCTCACACAACACAATACAATGTGATTTGGCACGTATGTATCGTTGCTCCTCTAATGTAAAACTGCTTAACCCCTGCTGTAATTCTGATATGCTCCCTACTAATGCTGTCCATCCCTAATGTCATTTATCCCATTGAGAATCTCTGCCACCTGTCAGTCACCTATATTTTGGCCAGGACTACTATCTTACTACCTACTCTTATACCAAAGAACATGCTGTGAAATCACCATTGTCCATAAAGAGTCATCTCTCAGCCTGTATATGGACATTTCAAACATGAAGGGATTCAACCCATCTGTCACTTGGACAGCACATTTCAGAGATTTTGCCTATTCTTCAGCGCTCTCATTTAATAGTACATTTCTTTCACCCCTGTACTTTACAAACTAACCAGCTGCGCATATCTAAATCTGAACGTTTAGATTTTTAAAAAAGTAGGTATATTTTAGAACGTTTTAAGTGCTTTGCTTTCTGTTTTATTTTTTTCCACAACTGTCTTTAATCTTTTTAATTTAGATTGTATTGCTTTCAAAAATTCCGTTCGTCTAATTTCCTCGTCTTTTTCTAATCGCTGTTTGAACTCTACCTTCTTAAGTAGTGAAGTGAAGAAATATAAATAGCCTATACCGGTGTTAATCCCCCACTCGGCGTGGGACACTTGCTGCTGGCTCGTGCTCACCGCTGGCCCACGTTCCTGTGATCACGATCCTCTGGTGACGTCACGGTCTCTACCATATTTATTCATGCCGGGCAAGATGGCGGCGATACGGACGAGCTGTTATTGGCAGTGGACATAAAAAGGAATTTTATTCAAAAAACAGCACCAAGTCCCATACCTTTTTTTTTATACTCTTCCGGTTTTTGTGTGTTATTCGTGTTACCATCGTGCACGTCATTTGTTTATCATTTAACGCGTTTTTAACGTTTTTGTGTGGGAAAATGTGGAGGTTGTAGCTCGCTGGTTCACCGAGCAGCTGGCTAACAGAGAGCAGTCAATAGCCTGCTAGCTGCTGTCCATCACAGGCGAGCCGCCGTCAGTGGAGGATGGGAGAAAAGCTAGAGCTCAAGCTCAAATCGCCGGTTGGAGCAGAACCCGCTGGCTACCCGTGGCCGTTACCCGTATACGTAAGTATTACGCCTGATGAGGTCAGGCGTCACAGATGTAGATATGTCTATGTTTTGGTCTTTGTTAGCCAGCTCTCTGCTAAAGGTGGCTAACAGAGGGAGCCATGGCACGGTCGTCCTCAGGATCAGGTCACACGAGTTCGAATGCTGACAGTCAGACACACGGTGGTTCACAGCAGAGTAGTAACTGGTCTTATTGCTACTTTTAAAAAACTGTTAAACCTTTTGTCTCTTACAATGTTCTGGAAACGCTGATAATTTAGTCACATCTCTCTGCTGTTGCTTGTTGATTGGTGTCACTAAGTGCACATTCATGCTTATACTATACAACTTCTTATGGTGCTACAGTGTTCGAGAAAGAAACTCGTTTAACATAACACTGATGTTGCCGTGTATCTTCTCATTATTTATGCCAACCAGGAGACTTGCATGCATGCTTATCTCGTGCATGTTGCAACTTCAGTCGGACTATTACATACTTTATTTGCTCTTTAGTAACTTAGCAATGGGCCAGACAAATTAAAAAAGGTTTTGGCATGTATAGATAGCGTGTAAACATAACCATTTCAACCAAGTAAAATAAAAACCAGTGGATACAGCTTTACTACGGGTTGCACTGAATGCCACGCTAGACACTGATCCCTTTTCCATCATAAGGTTGTTTTGAAACGAGCAGCTCCACTAGCACATGCCTGCCAACCCGCATCATTCCAGTCATGTCAGTTGTTTTGTTGGTATCTAATATTGTAGTGTTTTGGTTGTGTCCACATCTTAACAGGGCATAGTTTCATAAAATCCAGACATTAGGAATTAGGTCCTGTTGTTTTGTGTTAAGCCCAATCATCAAGATACTGTAGATGTCAACAAACAAACGATTCAAATTAGATGATGCAGAACTTCTAGGATATTGCAGGACATGATGCTTTTGTGCACTGATATATAGTGGTCTGAAATCTGCTTCTCTGTTCCGCACGTGCTTTTTAACATTTCTAAACACCTGTCTAGCAATCATTAAATCAATAATGGTTGTTTTGTAATAGGAAAACTTCACCCCATGCTGTCATCTAAGTAGTAGAACACTGGTTTATGTCTGCTCTTGACTCATAGGAGTTGAGGGGAAAGGGAAGTGGTTGCAAGCTCTGTGGTGTTAGAAAAGTAAGTTTAAAAACTGAGCATTTCATTTATAGTAATTGTGGTGAGACAGTTGTAGACTGAAAAATGGTTGCATTTCCTAGAAAAGCCTGCATGTGTGGGCATGTTATTTTCTCATTTATGCTTTTAATCTTGTTGAAGCAGAAACCTTAAAACTTGACTTTCTCTTTACACTAGAACGAATGCTAATAACAGGGAAGTCTTGCCCAGCTTCAGCCTCAACCATTCCCCTATGGTTATGAGTATAAACAAGAAACAAAGTATGTCAGGAATTCACTATAGTTTTGACCTTGACAATGGATTCCAAACTAGGACACATACTGAATTAGAAACATCTGATGGTTCCCTTTAAGAAGTCCAGCAATATGGAGCTGGTTAGTGCTGTGCTCTCCTCCTGTTTTTAGAAGGCAAACACTTCCTTTCTTTTCTCCCTTCCTCTCACGTCCATATGGCCATCTCCACAGGAAGGGGGATAGAAGCAACTGCTCTCTTCAGCAAGCCTTTATTAGTAGAATACCGCAAGAAGTGCCTGTATGTGACCCTAAATGTTCTCTACAGTCATCTGCAAGGACCAGATTTAGTCTGTGTTCTCTGCTCGTTGGCAGCAGCAGATGCCTTACCATGTAGATTCATACTCCACTCCCACAGAGCATTAAGATTTCTTATCTTACTCACAGAGCATGAACAAAGTTCCCACTGTTATGCACACAACATAGCTGTTGTGTGTTGCAGTATAGCAAAAGCTGTCAGAGCACACACAGAGCAGTTTTTCCCATTTTTTCAGTTCTCCGCTTCAATCTTACTTTGGCTCGTGTTCCACTTAATGCCTATGTCTGTGCATCTGTAAATGCTTCCATATGAAGAGCACCTCTGGTGCAGCGGGTAGTCCATTTGATATGGGTGCATGACTGAAGTACACACTGGAGTTTTTGGTTTGAGGCATACCATAAGTCATCAAGTTATTGGTTGTTAAGTACTGTACATGTTGTTAAACAACAATACTAATAATAGAAATAAAAATAATGGTAATTGTGTCTCTTATTTGTCCCACAATGGAAAATTTACAGTACGAGTCTTTGCAACCGACATTGGAGGTGCCATTAGGTACTGTACGTGCAACTCAAATGAACATGAATTAAACATAGACACTTTGTATTATAGTAGGAATACAAATCCCCACTGCTGCAGTCTTTAACCTCAAAGAGGCTGCATACCCGGCCAAATACCAGAACTTCCCAGTAGTCAGTCAGAACTGAAGAAGCCCCTTGGATGAGAGGTGAAACGTCTTCAACAAACCTACTCCGTCCAGTTGCCCTCAATGGAACTATTTTTGAGTAAGATGACCTGGATGACAGAACCTACTAGTGAAACACCTGAAAGACAGGCACCCCAACTTGATAAAAATAATTCAAGATGAGTACGTTTCAGTTTACTTTCACTTGTGTTTACTTATACCTAACATGAAAATACGCTCCGCTCGTTATGTTTTTAGAGGCGTACACTTATAGTCGTAGATGTAGACATTATGAGATGCTCTCTAACAGTCTTTCACCTTAGTTTATTTAAACTAAAACTACATTTTTCTGTTACATTATCAGTCTGAGGATGATATTGACCAGGAATACTGGCAGGGTATAGACCACATATCACCAAGGGCTGTAAACTTGATTTTATCATTAATTGCCTTTTCACTCTCTCACCTGTTCAATAAAAACATCCACGCTCAGTTTCTTGATTTAAGCCTCCACAACAGCTGCTTCACTAAATTTAGCTTCTCTGCAGCTTTTACATGAATGATTAATTTTGTGCATTAAGTTGTCTTCCTCAAACAACTTGTTAGAACTAGCATGCAAGAGCTTGTATGCTAATGATTGTCTGCTCAGTGCATGGATGACATCATGTAAAACCTTGCTGCTTTTATCAGTCAGTGTTGCTTTGAATCATTAGCTAACAGCTTATCAACCAATTGTGTTGTACGTTTATGTCACACAGCAACAATGTCTGATAATCCTAACCATAACCTCTCCAAAGAAGACACATTACCTTATAACATAAAAAAAGATGATGGGCATATACACTCTCCCGTTATTGGTGAATAAAACTGCTTTTTAAATGAGTTCAGTAATCGTTTGTAATATTTCAACATAGATGATAGTTATAAAAACACAACTGTTGTGAAACACACAACCTCCAGATACATATTTCCATCTGTCAGTTAGTTGTGAGCATAACGATGTTTCACAAACGATACCGCTGTCTCACAAACTGAACAGGAAGACGACTACCGGTGTGTTGTGTCATATGTGAAGTGACGTGTTGTTGGTCTGTCTGAATTGGCTGTGTAAGTGACACGTCTGCCTCAGTCATTTGTTCTCTTGGGCTGAGTAGAGTAGTGTGGTGTAAAACCCTGACGCCCGATGAAACAGTTTTCAGAGGAGTAGTGCATGCATCATTTGTACCCATAGTGGAGAGAAAGAGGACGCTCTGTTTTCTTTTTTTCTCTCTCCTTGTTATTTATAGACGGTTTATTTTTAGCAGCAGCAGTGTGTCTGTGTTGCTGTGTGCTGCCTTTGTGGGAGCAGGTGACCTCCTCCCTTCAGTAGGATAACTACTCCTCCTGTATCTTGTACATTTCTGAACACAAAGTGTTACCACTCTCCAGCTGTTTTGACAGCTTCTATTAGCAGCCCTGTTCAGTTGGGGTTGTGCTATTACTACATACGAAACTCTGCACTAGTACGAATAGTGGGTGTTGTACTTCTTTATCGTGCATATTTGAGTTTGTGCACAGCAGGTTTGAGCTTGCGCAAACGTCTGCATATAAATGGCGGGCTGTATTGAGCGGGAAGCTGAGAGACAGAGAGCAGTTAGCTGCGGCTGCTGTGGCAGGCCTTAAACAGCTGATAAATACCGGGCTTCTCCTCCTTCCTCCTCCTCCTTCCCCACCCCCTCTGCCTCTGGCCCCTCTCACACTATTTATTTACTAGTTTTCTCACTTTCACTTTCTTACGATTTTCAAACTGAAAATGCTCTCGTCTTATGCACCCCCTCCCTTTTTCCCCTCCACCAGCGGCTCTCCTTGGCTGTGCGCTTAGGAAGGAGACAGAAAGTGGGTCAGTGGGTCAGCTCAGGCAACTGGCTCAGGCTGGCTACACACTAGTTGTAACTTGAGCCCTGTTATTCTCATAGAGCTGCTAAGAACACTCCAGTCCAGATTACTAACTACAGGTTCTCCGGACATCTCCAAAAACCATAATGTTGTTTGTTGATGGGGCTTTGTTCCAAACTAATGAGATGTTGTCTTGATTGAACTAATTAACTGCTGTTACATTTGTCATTACAGTCAAATTCTGTGTATCAGATTAGGAAGAGCAAGTTTGCATTAGACAAACCATACAACCTTTCTTCAAACTTGTTTAGGTTCAGTTGGGGTATGGCTTGGTTTGTTTGTATTCTTCTACTTCAGTTGTTTATGTTCTACCAAATTGTCGCCCACTTGTGTTTGTATTGGATGTAATTCGAGAGGTGCTTAAAGCTTCCTAAGCTTAAAGCAGCTCTAAACACAAATGTTACCAGTCCCAATTATAATCTACTCATTATGTAGGTAGTTCAATTGTGTTTTATTTCTATTTTGGTGTCTTTAAAACCAAGAATAGTTTGTAAAAGTAGAACAGTAACAGGAAATCCATGATTGCAGTCTTTTACTCACAGTGAGATATCGGTACTCAGACTGGGCCACATATTTCCTTAATGTAAACACTGACAACATTGGCTTGTCCCAAATTATCTGTGTTCACCAATGAACAGACCAGTTGCCATAGAGTTTGGGATGTTTAGGTTTTAAATAAATTCATTTTTAGTTCATTTTACCCGCTGTATTTAAGCAGTAATACAGAGATGGAATATCATTAATAAATATACAAACAAACAATCAACACAAACCATAAAGAAAACCATTACCGTAAAAAAAAGAAATCAAAGGCTAAAAACCAAGACTACTGCTTAAATGTAAATACATAATACACAATTTACATCTCTTAACTGTTTCAGCAGCTTTTTTTTTCTTTTATGCAAAAATTGTTTAACTGTAGAGGTTCTGACTTCGTACAAAATGTTTTATAGAGAAGACCAATGAATGGGACATGGCTTTTACATTTTTTTAGGGTGGCTGAAAACAACACTTGTTTAAACCATAGAAAGTAAACATTAATTAATATTGTCTTTATTTGCAATCGCACAGAAAACAGTTGATACTAAGAGTTACTTTTTGTAATTGAATAATCTTTATTATTTCTTTATTATTAGATCTATATTAGATCTACCTTACATTCAGAATCCTTGTCTTATCTGAGGTTAATATAAACAGATTCCTTCAGAAGCACAGGATTCCCTAATATACTGTACAGTAGACTCAGTCAACATTCATACTTGCATTGCAGTTTTTGTGAGTCATAACAGACATCAGTTACTCTGCTGCTACCCACACTGTCATTTATCTTACTGTAAAGTATCCTAGATGTTTTGGGTTTATTAATGAAAAAAAAACCCACAGTAACATTATAACTGTATCTCCTGATGGAGTGCACTATCATTGCCATCACATTGCTCCGGGTGCTGCTCCTCTCCAGATTGTCATCACTGTATGTCTGATGTCTGATTTCAGGACAAACATCATGATGCTGCACATGAAATCATTGAGACCATTCGGTAAGTAATCTCCCCACTCTTTCTGAGTCACCTCAGGTTGTTACCCACAACTGAGGTGATGGTAAGTGACTGAGTCATATACAGGATGAGGTGATGGTTTTGTGTGTGCTGTTGTAGGTGGGTGTGTGAGGAGATTCCAGACCTCAAGCTGGCAATGGAAAACTATGTTCTCATTGACTATGACACAAAGAGGTGAGTTGGCCGTCACATCCAGGAAGCTGAAAAAAATAGTAAGGCTGATGATTTTTTAGGTCATAATAGTAAACTGTATTCTGAATTTACAAGTACATTTTTGTCTTACAATTACAAGATAGATGTTATTCATTTATTTTGTTTGTTATTCTTACAGCTTCGAAAGCATGCAGAGGCTGTGTGACAAGTACAACAGGGCCATTGACAGCATTCATCAGCTAGTAAGTCATTTTCTTTCATTAGAAATCCCACTGTTTCCCTCATACAGAGTTAGGGCTTTCCTTCACAAAAACACTGGTAACATTCTCTCTTATGGTATGTTGGCAGTTTTTCTGTGGTCTTTTAGTTCCTCCTTCCACATCTGTTCTGTACATTGTAGAAGTCTGATTGGGGATCATCACCTAGAAGTTTTGATACCTTTGATACCCTCTTTTACTTTGCATCGTCTGAAGTCTTAATTGAGCACGTCTTGCATCGTGCAATTGTTTTTCTTTTCTGCTACTTCTTTATTTCAAAAGCTAAATCTTATCACACCTGAGACTTCTGTTACCCTGTTATCAAAATGTATTATCAAGTGTCTCCAGGTGAGTCATGTCCCCATTCTTTCACTAAACCAATGAAATTCTGTCACCCACAGTGGAAAGGGACCACCCAGCCTATGAAGCTAAACAAGCGTCCTTCAAATGGGCTGCTGAGACACATTCTACAGCAGGTGTACAACCACTCAGTGACCGACCCAGAGAAGCTGAACAACTATGAGCCCTTCTCGCCTGAGGTGTACGGAGAGACGTCCTTTGACCTGGTGGCTCAGATCATTGACGAGATGGAGATGATGGAAGATGACACCTTTGTTGACCTTGGCAGTGGTTGGTTTTCTTAAATGTTTAGAGTTGTATTAGTTTGATTAGAAACACAATCTCATGCCCTTCTTCATGCAAAGCTCTAATTACTTGTCTTCTTTCACAGGAGTAGGACAAGTGGTGCTGCAGGTTGCAGCAGCAACCAACTGTAAACACTACTATGGTGTAGAGAAAGCAGACATTCCAGCCACCTATGCAGAGGTAACAGCATCCCAGAAGACAATGGTACCACAGCTGTGCTGTGTCAGAAAAGCTCTCCCCCTGCTGTTCTTGGTAAAAGAAATGGTTTGGTGCAGTGCAGTGTCCACTGCAGGCAGTATTTCCACTCTGTGGTGTCTCTGTTTATCAGCCGTCACATTAGTTCTTTTTACTTTTTTTTAACAGCAAACCCATTGTATGAAAAAGGCAAAACCAAACTCTGTCGATACCTGTTACAATGTAATCATGGCTCTGGACTCTGCCACTAACCTATTTTTCCATAAATGGATAAAGCGTCAAAGTCCTGGCAGTAGCCAGTGATTGGGTTTAATGACATTGAAGTCTATAAGCCTTTTTGATTGATGTGTGCAAACGTAATAGTATTGGACTTGTATTGTTGTATAATATAAATATCTAAATTGTATTTTTACTTTTGGTGTCATTGGTTTCAGACCATGGATAAAGAATTTAAGAAATGGATGAAATGGTATGGAAAAAAACACGGAGAGTACACAGTAAGTAGCCCTAAGAAACTGGCATTTACTGCGGCCAAGGGGGGATTTTCTATGTTCAGCATATTAGATATCACATGTATCTGCTCTGGAATTTAAAGTGTATGTTTTCGTTTTAGCTTGAAAGGGGGGATTTTCTCTCTGAAGAATGGAAAGAAAGGATCGCCAATACAAGGTGGTGTAACAAGCAGTGACTGCCTGAATTTTTGTTTTACGATAGGACCAGAGAAATTGACCAGTGGTAAACCTTTTAAGGTGACTGCCTGTGCCCGACACTAAATGACTTTGTCCTACATACAGGTCATTAAGTGTAATACAGCATATCAAAAGAAAATTTGTAATTCAAATATTTTTACTGTGTCCACATTGTCATTCAAATTGTGAATGTTTCTTGACAACTGTATCTGAATTTGTCTGTCTCTCTATTTTCCAGTATTATTTTTGTGAATAACTTTGCATTTGGTCCAGAGGTAGATCACCAGCTGAAGGAACGTTTTGCTAACATGAAGGAAGGTGAGCAGTAACACGCAGCCTTTTTACTCACACTGTCTACCTAGAAGTTAAGGTTTTTAATGATTTCGTTCATGTTGGTTTTCTCTTTTATTTTTCAGGTGGAAAAATTGTGTCCTCCAAACCTTTTGCACCTTTAAATTTTAGAATTAACAGTCGAAACTTGAGTGGTAAATTTAATCTTTTCTATTACTGAATATTTTTATGTTCAAGCTGTTTCAGTTTTTTTTTTTAAATGATGTGTGATGATGTTTTTGTATTTCATGCAGACATTGGCACAATAATGCGTGTGGTGGAGCTTTCTCCACTGAGGGGCTCTGTGTCCTGGACGGGAAAACCTGTTTCCTACTACCTGCATACCATAGACCGCACCATAGTAAGCTGTGAAACTTCATCACTGTTTCCGTAACTGGTGATTAGAGGAGAAGCCAAGTGCAGAGAGTGGAATGTCTTCCAGAGGAAGTCTTGGGAAACACAACAATAGAACACTAAATGGCGGCCGGAGTGGTACAAACAAATTATACATTAGACACTTAACAGAGGCCTCAGCTCTAGAGACAGGCTGACATAACAACGTTATTATCCTAATGAGCAGTCAGTCTCAGGAGAAGGGAATCTGAGAAGAGAAGAACACACAGGGTTAGATGAGGTAACACTGGGCTGTTTATGTGTCCGTGCATCGGCTTATGTCACTATGACATTTTGTTAATGTGAAACATCGCAGCCTCTGGCTTTATGACATATTCTTCTTTTAACGGTTTCACCCACTATCACTTTAGTAGTTTTCCCTGGTAAGTTGTATTTTATTTTTTATTATATATTTTTTTATTATATATGTTTAATTCCCCACCTAATGTAAATACGGGATTTATTATTTTGAGTGCACATGAGTTCTGTTTGGGTTTCTACTGAATGGCATCACTTTCGTTAAATCTGAACTGTAGCTCTTCTCTTCATTTAAACAGTTCACTCTTGTTCTTGTTGTTTTTTTAAACCCTTTTGGACATATAATTGTAGTCAGAGCAAAAAAATCACAATGTATCAACAGTTTAAAATACACAGGTGAAGCTAGAGGATATCACAGGCTACTTTTGTTTAGCAGTGTGGAATGTTATTTATTTTCTAAAAACCAAATGTTGTTCTTTTTTTCAGCTTGAAAACTATTTTGCTAGTCTAAAAAATCCTAAACTCAGGGTAAGTGATGTTTTTCCTGTGTTTTGACAGTGTCCCTGTCGTTAATGGATCTCAAAAGAACTCAAATGTTTTAATGTTCTTGTCAGGAGGAGCAAGAGGCAGCTAGACGGCGTTCACAAAAGGACACAAAGGACAGTAAAAGCAATAATACCACACCAACTAAACCGAAAGAACAAAACAAGGTTGGTCCTCCAGAGAGCTATTATTCTTAAAATGGGATGCATTTTTCGTTGTTGCTTTGGGTGCATTTAATGTCCATGCATTCTACAGCAGGACTCCTGTGGTGAGGAGGAACGTCTTAGTTTGGTGACTGTGGTCAAGCCAACTTCCAAACCCAGGAAAACCCGACTCTTGTCCAAAGGTCGGAAGTTAAACAACAAAAAACGTGGCCGGCCCAAAAAGGCTGCCCCAGCTGCTGAGAAGAAAAACAAGAAGAATCAGAGTGCGCTGGACTTGCTGCACGCCAAGACCCTTTCTGCAGCACCTCCTCAGGGTGAGAGCACACACATGTGTAGCTACAAGAAAACTGTAGGAATGAACACTGGCCATATTCCTGCCCTATTGAACTTGTTTTGAACTGTGGTTGGAATTATAAAGAGTTAAATTCAGATAATGCTATTTTTATAAAGATGACTAATCCAGGGATGACAGTGAAGATTCCCATTGTTTATCTGTGTGTACTCTATTTGTTCCAAGTTATTTTAAACCAGAGGGGTTTGTTTTATAAAGAGATAAACATTTAAAAAAAATGGGATTATCAGCAAAGTCTAGATAACATGCCCTGGGACAGTGGGTTGAATAAGAGATGTTCTATGGGGATAAGTGTGCTTAAGGGGATTTGAAATAGTCTTATGTGTAGGTAATGAAAGAAGTGTGTTTCAGGGACTGAGTACTTATTAAAGAACATGAACCATCCACCAACAGTGGAGCATATTCCTGTAAAGGTCTTGTACCTAAATATCTTGTCAAAATTGGAGCCTCAAGACGACACAATATGCAGGACTGCAAACGAAGTATTCTGAGCCGAGCTGCAGTACAGTCCCCACTGAACTATTGGGTTACAAATACATTATAACTGATTTTAGGAGTCAAACAATAATAATAATAATACATATTGAAAGCGTAATCGAAGAAGGTTATTGGCCCAATGTAGTAAACACTATAATCTCAACCTGTCTCTTATAACGTTAATGTAAGTTTATGTAATGTTAACATGCACTTTGTCTGTGTGTACAGATGCTTACCGGCCAACTCAGAGTCCATTCTACCAGCTACCTCCCAAGGTCCAGCACTATCCCTTCAGTCAACTGCTGCTGGGTCCGACTCCACCTGGTCTGCAACAACTACTAGGTGAGCTGATGGAGGTTCATCCTGGGTTGTTCTCCACACACTTGCACAATGTCTGCACGGTCTGAAGTTATCTCTTGTAGTCGATAAACACATTCAATTCCAGTCCAAAGTTTTAGTCTGTCAGCCGTAAAGCCTATCCTAACTGAATATTGCTATAAAAACCAGGTAATGGACTCCAGCTTTTATTTTTCTGTGTTTTCGCAGATAACATCAAAATTCAATACCTCCAGTTCATGGGATACATGAAGACTCCTCAGTATCGGTCCAACGTTCAGCAGCTTTTGGAACAGGAGAAGGTATATAATGATGAAATTCCATACATGCGAAATTCTTCTGGCAGAGTGTTGCATTTCCTGCAGCTGTAACCTTGTTCACCTGTTTGTTTCTAGCAAAAACACAGGCACCTGTCAGGGCAGGCAGAGCAGCTTCTCTCTGACTGTGAATCTCACAAGGACAGGATCAAAGGTCTTTTTCAGACTAAACTTGATGAGGTAGGAGGAGCTTCACCAATACTCCAAATTATGTTTACCACATCACTTCTGTAAACACTTACTTTCAATAGATAGTGTTTTTACTGTCACATGCACACTTAGTGCTATGTGGGGTGAATTTTCTCTTTTGTTCCCACATCTATATTGCAGACAGAAAAAGATAAGTGAAGAGATTTTCTATTCCATTTATGTCTGTGAACTACCCTGAGTAAAAGAAGAGACGTGAACAATTTGTGAATAAATATATTCATGATTGTTTGTCAATTTGAAAATGGGTGTCTTTGATGCTGTGAGTCGGTGTTGTGCAGTATTATTGAAGGTCTGTTGAGCTTGAGTTCACATATGATGGAAAGCTATTCAAAGGCCTTTAACATTGAAATCCAAAAACAACTGGATGTAACCAAGAGAATGTAAACAACACCACGTTGTCCCAGGTGTCCCTCTAGCTAATGCATAGCAACTTTTTTTTTTTAACCAGCTGGGTGTGAAAGCTTTGACCGTGGAGGATCTGCTGCAGGCCCAAAAAGAGATTTCAGCTCACAATCGTCAGCTCAAAGAGCAGACTAAACAACTGGAGAGAGACATGGCCTTGCTGAGAGATCACAGCCTGCTGTTGGTAAGTCAGCAAAACACACGAGACCCTTTTCAGACCTGATATTTACATCTTTTCAGTCAGATACAGTGTCAGGTCTGCTGTTCACAAGTCATTAATGTCTGAATGTAACATTGGAGTATAAATACATTACATACAGCATAGAGATATGATAAAGAAATCATAAGATAGATTTTTTTTTTACTGTGCATACTCTGTGCTCTCAGTCCCTGATTTTACAGTGTGTTTATCATTTTCTAAAAGGTGCTTGAGATTACATTCATCAGAATAATTGTACTATATTAAATCTTAACGAGTTTGTCTTGCATTCTTGTTGCATGTTTAATTTCTCCAGTTGAAGTCTCGATGTGAGGAGCTGAAGCTGGATTGGGGTTCTCTCTGTTTGGATAATCTGTTGAAGGAGAAGGATGCTCTACGCAGACAAATCTCTGAGAAGCAGAGACACTGCTTAGAGCTGCAGGTAAACAGTGAATGACTACAGTTCCTGAAAAACCATCAGTATCCTGTGACAATGTTAAAGTCACAAATTCATCACTTAATTCCATTTATTTTTATGCTGAATGTCTGTTCTCGTTTGTAACGGCTCCCCCTGGTGTCCGTTTTTAGATCAGCATTGTGGAGCTAGAGAAAAGTCAAAGGCAGCATGAGTTGCTTCAGCTCAAGTCCTACAGTCCCTGTGATGGCTCCCCATACAGAAAGAACCTCGACTCCCGCTCCTCTGCAGACATGGACTCTTCCAAGCTCGGTCTGTCCTCAGCCCCGGTCCTTAATGGCATCAGTCCAGAGCTTTCATTAAATGGTACAGGTTCACCATGTTTTGATCGGGTCACCACCAAGGCTGAGCTTATTTCTCGCTACCTGCCCATCTCTCCTGACCATGAGACCCTTCCTGCTACCCCTGAGACTCGGCAGAGGCAGCAAATCTCTTCTCACATGCTTCCTGACTACACACGGTTCTCCCCCGCAAAAATTGCTCTACGTAGGCACCTTAACCAGGATCCCACCGCCTCATCTCATTTTCGGGGTCCAGGACTGACCACTCAAAGGTTTGTAGGCATCAAATGGGTTTATTCGTGCAGCCTTTCAGCTAAAGTTAACGCCTTCATCTTTTTAATACCATAGGGATAATGGAGGAGTTAATTCTCTACTTGGAGCCAAACAGAATTGCCTCTCTCCCAACACAGCTGATTCACAGAAATGTTCAGAAAGGGTATGTATTAGTCGTTTTTCTTCTTACCACTTGTAAAATCTCTTTCAACTTTCTTGAATAATTTGTTGTTGTTTTTTACTCTTTTAAAAGAGTGGTAAAGAGAGAAGTCCATCTGTTCAGGGCGACAATAGTATTACTAGTCTGCCAATAAGCATTCCCTTGAGCACTGTCCACCCCAGTAAACTACCGGTCAGCATCCCACTGGCCAGCGTGGTGCTACCTAATCGAGCTGAGAAACTGGTAAGCAACCTCTCAGTGGTATTGATTTTTTTTGTTTTTTAAGTGTTTTGTGATTTTGCTATGACTGTCCTGGGTATTTTATCATCCTTACTCTGTGATTGTGCAAATATAGTACAGTTATGCATTTTGTGTTTTTTTAGTGTTATTATTCTGAGATCAATCACTTAACATACTGAAATCGTCTATATGTTCATAATTTCAGAGGAGCACTCCTAGTCCCGTCTCTCAGACAGGCCAGACCAATGGTACTACATCTTACTATTCATAGTTTACACTCTTTTAATTGTAAAAGATCAAATTCTACTTTATCTGTTAATACAAGCATTCTGTGTTAAATGTCAACATTACATTCACTGACAGTGATTTTGGTTTGTTGTCTGCTTAGGATACTTGTCCAACTCGGGGCTAATGAATGGGGTTCTCCACCCTGAGGACCATAATGGTGCTTCTTCATCACCTCTTCCACACAACAACACTTCAATGAGTGGACCATCAGTTCGTGGAGGTTCCATTCAGAGCCCGCCTCTCAGTACCGGAGGGGTGCTTCAGTATGCAGACGGACCACCAAGAATTCTTCCAGAGGATGGACAAGACCGCCCTGTGGGTGAATGTGACAATGACCCTCAAGACGGTGAAATGGGGAGAAGAATCTTCTTCTCATCGTCCTCCTCGTCCTCCTCCTCGTCTTCCTCTTCGTCGGGCAGTGGAGGCAGCTCAGCTGGAGGATCGCGCCTTCACCATCACACTGGCAACTCAGCCAAGCAGGGATACCACAGTAACCATGGAAACCACCACCACCACCACCACCACCACCACCACCACCACCACCACCACCACCACCACCACCACCACCACCACCATCATCACCAGTCCCCCGGCACACAGCACCCACACACGCCAACACACACTTCATCATCACATACCTCACACGTCCTTGGCTCCCAAGATGGGCGCAAGAGGGGAAGAAGGAAACGCAGCTCAGCAGGGGCTGTTGCAGCCAACAGCTCTCCAAAGAGGAGGTCATTTCCTGGGCTCAGCTCCACCAACCACTCCTCAGGATCACCACTCAACATTAACTCTATGGTGAGACAACACCAGTATCTGCATGTATGTTCCTCCAGTGCCTTTCTGGGTCCATATTGTACAAACCTTGTTTGACAGACTTTCGACTTCCCCCAATTATGTCTAACCATTACCTTGTGGTGTTTAGGTGAACAACATCAACCAGCCTTTGGAGATCTCAGCTATCTCCTCACCAGAACAATCTAGTCGTAGCCCATGTGGTCCTGATCTGGATCAGCCTCCTATCTTAAAGAGAGAGCGCCCGTTGGAGCTCAATGGAACAGGTCGTTACTCCTCAGCCCCCAGTTCTGATGAAGAGGACTCGGGATACCCCGCTGACAGCTCTAGTTCACGGTAAGAACACTACAACTCTCCTCTTCTTTTCAAACTAGAAAGTTGTTAGGTTATTACATTTCCAAGACCTCCGGTTTCAAGGTGATTCACACCTCTGTTTTTTGTATTTAGAATTGAAAGAAAAATTGCCACTATATCCTTGGAAAGCAGAGATGGGCCTGGTAGATTAGGAGATGGTGAAAGAGGTAAGATAATATTTTGCTGTAGAACAAAAAAATGTAACTTTTTTTACTTCTGCTCCTAAATATTCAGATCTGTTTCTACCCCCCAGGTAGAAAATCTGGAAGCAGCAGTGGAAACAGCACAGCTAGTGAGGCATGCTCTTCGTCCTCCACCAGCAAATGGAAAGCTACCTTTTCACCTATTTCTGACCCTAAGCAACCCAACTCCGATCTGAGACAGGTCGGCTCTCCTTTCGGCATGGGGGGGTCAAGCCGAGGGACGGACTCAGACTCTGACCACAAACAGCAGCAGCACGTGAGAAGAGGAAGTGATGGAGAGTCATCGAGCTACATCACCCCAAACCCCTTCCTCAGTCAGGAGATGATGGCCCGAGGTGGTGGCAGCAGCGGTGGTGCTGGAGCTCAGGGAAGCAGCAACAGCAGCTCCGACCAGCGCCAGTCCCATCAGAAGCAGAAGATGACACGGGACTGGGATCTGAAGACCAGCAGTCAGAACCTCTTCATCTCTGCTGCTGCTAGCAGCGGAGTGGGGATTCTGAGTGGGAAGGTCGGGGCCAGTCCTGTAGCAGTTTCATCAAGCACAGGCTCTTCTGTGGGACAGTACTTGGGCTCTCAATTCCCACTGGGAGGGACGTCCGTCTTACAGCCCCTTTTTGGAACCCAAACAGGAGGACCCTCTGTGACCAGCACCTCAAGGCTGGTCAACGGTCACTCCGCTCTGGGAAGCTTCTCCAATGCTGGTCTGGCAGGTGGGGCAGCCGGAGGTAAGCACCGCTGACTGAGTCATCATGTTGTAACTGTTGTGTCAAACAGTCAGAGTTAGCTTATAGATGTTACCCTGGGGCTATCAGCTTAACCAATCCTAGTCTGCAGGCCTCATTTATACAGTGTTAGGCCTGAGGTAAGTAAAGGGCCATCGCTGTTGTTGCATTTTTGTCAGTCTGTCAGTTTTAATGACTGTCTCTCCCTTTGCCACGCTTTGACATGGACTGGCTGCTTCAGTGCTGCAGTTGGAAACACCCCTGGAAAATGTTGTGTGATATTTATTTAGATGCTAAATGTAATGCTTTATTTTTCTAATCTAATTGTTAATCAGAAATGCCAACAGTTTTACTAAATATCAAATTATTCAGGGACATTTTCTGTGGGTGTATCTGTTGAAGTTGAATGTCAGAGTCAGTTCACCTGTGAACCTTCACACCAGTAAAACCCTGACTCTTGTCCTACATTGGCTGATGGATGGAAGTTCTGACCACACTGAAGGTGGACTGACTCTGTTTTGCATTTTGTGTGCTTGTCTACGACTTGCTTGGCGCTTATGCACAACCTGGCTCAGTCCTTGCTTCTCTCTCTGTCCCTCTCCTTCTCGCTCTCTTTGCTTCTGTTATCTGCCCTCCACTCTCTACTCTCTCGTCCCCGCCCCTTCCTCCATTTTCTGCTGTTATAATTTGCAGGTATATTTCACCACGTGGTCGCCTCAGGGTCCTCCCATCAGTTTGGGGCAACATTGCCAGCTCCGGGAGGCCTCAGTTCTCTCCTCAGTCTCTCCTCCTCCTCCTCCTCTTCTACTTCCTCCCAAACTCAGCAGCACACCTCCTCCCAGCCAGCCTCCACACGCCTGGCTTCCGTGTCCTCTTCTCTCCCACTCTCCCAGGCTCAGCACAGCCGCACCCAGACGGTCCTGCACAGCGCCTCTCCTCCAACTCTCTCCTTGCCCCCTCCTCCCCCTCTGCACAGTGCTCCCTCCACCACAGCAGCCACACATCCTGACACCCCATCATCCACCCGATCAGACTCCCTCCATTCCTCTCGTCAGTCTAATTTCTCTCACCATCAGCAGAGGGCGCAGTCATCTGTCTCACTCACCAACTCCACCTCTGCCTCCTCCTCTGCTTCTGTGTGCGCTGCTGCTACCTCTTCCTCCTCTATGTCAGCCGCCTCCTCTTCTCGTCCGTTTGCAGTGCACTACTCTCCTCGTATGCCCCCTCCTCCACCCGTTACCAGCCCAGGTGGCGGTGGGAGCATGTGGAGGACTCCTGGCATGCATGCCTCCTACATCACCTCCCAGCTCCCCAGTTCCAGACCTAGATAGGGTTTGCCTGAGGGGTTGGAGGATGGTGTGGGAGAGGGTATGTACAAGGGCAATCAGAAGGTGGACAGAGGGAGGGAGAGAAATAGAGAGAGTCTGGTAGGGAGTGAGAGAGAGACTGTTTTCTCTGTGCTCTTATGAGCTGTTGTTCTGTTTAAACAAGGTAAGAGTTTCTTATTTTAACTATTAGAACCCTGCTGTCATTAAGACGCACTTTGACCTTTGAGTGAATCCATTCATAAGTCTATTCTTTCTCTGTACTTTTCCAGGTAACTGACGATAACTACCTCAACATGAAATAAACTATGCAAACGTCCGGATGTGGACCAAGGCACTGTCCTCTGTCACTGGTGCTTCAAATGTCTGCACTTTCCAACTGCCTCCAGGACCGGCCTCTGTACTGAGATCTCACACAGACACACACACACACCCACACCCACACACAAGTAGTACCGGCCATTCTTATGTAAAGAGCGTTGTTAAATAATAATGTTTGATGGTTTTTACATAAAGCAGAACAGTTCTGGCTGCTGCCCAGCACTGAGTGAACTGCAGTCTACTTTAATATTAAGGTGCTCAATAGTGTGATAGTTTATTACTTGTTTTGGTCAATATTACAGCAACTGATTTTCTGTCAAATAATCATTTAAAAGGTAAATGTTTTACAACAACAGTCCGACCTTCTTTGCTGAATTTCATCAGCTGTCACCAAACCTCCTGGTCTGATGTCATGTGACTTCTCTCAACGTACATGTCTCTAATTGCCTGTTTATTTACTAGAATTCAGTTTTGGTTGCAGCATATGAAATGAGGAACCTAATCATCTATTTCCACACTGTATACTAATGTTATTGAGGCTCATGTTGCAAAAAACAAACATGTCAGCATTGGCACCCCACTAACATTTTAGTAATTATTATATTTTTAGACAATTAAAGATGAAAAAAAAAACCTGATTTGATTTGGCACTGCTGCAGAGTTCTCTCAAAGTGTCAGTGCCAGTCTTTCTGTCTGGTGGATGGAGGTTCATGCTGATTCCAAAGGCTGAGGTTTTTTGTAGACTCTGAAGTGATTATAAATGTGATGTTAATGTGAATGGTTGGCTCTTTACCCAGAAACAGAATCCATTAAAACATCTGTGCGCTCCTTTATACAGAAATTAAAATATAAAAGTAAAATATGCAGCAGATCCCCTCTCCTTCCTTCAGGGGGAGCAATAAACAAAGTTTGACTGTTGTGGAGTGTGCTGCTACAATTGTTTTGTTTTGCCTTTTTTTTTTTTGATAAATTAAATCTTGTTTCAAAAGTCTCCCACAAAAAACAACAAGTAATTAATTTTGCTTTGAGGAGTTACCTTTTCTATGCTGCCCACAACAGACCAGTATGTGATCATGAAAGACAAGCTGAAGTGATACTGCCCTCAGCTGGCTACTACAGCACTGTGCACCTGTACACTTCAAGTTGCACTGCAAAAATCAAAATCAAAATGCAAAGTATTTTGTTGCATTAACATCACATTCAAACGTTTTTTCACTATGACTTTCATCAAATAACTTTGAAATTGTATTCTGCAACACAGAACTGGAAACACTTCCAGGGTATCAGTACTGCAGAAGTAAAACCTTATCAGTAAAAGTACATGGCCCAGTCATGGTGCTCGATGTTTGTGTGTGTTCTTAGCCACTCTTCTGCAGAAACACTCTCAGTATCAGGGGGAATGTGCCTGCGTTTAGTTAAGTGAAGCTTATCCAGGTGTAAAAAAAACAAAAAAAACAGGAGGTTTTATATTTATGAACTTTTTCTCCTGACAT